AGATGACATTGCCTGCTATTATTAATAGCAATTTCAGTTGTCTTTGCTTACTATTTATGTGTTTTATCTTTTCCACATGTTTACATTTAAACTACTTGTATCTTTGGATCTACACTGTATCTTTAGATCATTTTTTAATGCATTCTGAGAATCTTTGCTTTTTCTTTTGACTGTTTAGCACTTTGACATGTAATGGAATCACTGCGGAGGTAGAATGGAATTTACATCTGCTGCCTTTTTCTTAGTTTTCCATATGCCCTATGTGGTTTGTTCATTTTTCCACCACTATTGCTTTCTTTTGTGTTAAACAGATATTTCTTTTTTTTTTTTTTTTTTTATTTTTTTGGCTTTTTTTTTTTTTTCCCCTTTTACTTTTTATCAAGTAGAAGAAATAATACAGGATTAAAACTGCAAAAGTAGTTAATCAGTAGAACATGTATACACAAAATAATCCAGATAGGAAGACAGGCTTATTTACAATTAAAGTAAGGTAAAATTAAGGTGTTTTTCTTATGAAATATTTAAAAAAATCAAACATATGCTACAAAGGGCACCACTGTTTACAGCAATATTAAAGAGGAGAAAACAACACTTACTTAATAGGGACAGATATACCACAAGTTACACAACATCAGTGCAATAAATTCTCAAAACTATATTACAGCTAGTTCATCAGTTTAAGAATTGTTCCCAAGTCAGTCACATTTTTGGACCTCAGAAGTTGATTCCTACAGATTTCAACTACTACAAATTTCTAGCTACCGAGAAGTTAAGAATGATTATAAGAAGCTTTCCAAGGAGTTACAAAATCTTTGTAGACCAGAGGCGAACTATCATCACCTCAAGTCTACTCTCACCAACAGCCCTTGTATTTTTCAGGGAGAAATCTCTAGGAAAAAAGTCAAGACACCAGTGTAGTCACTATCTCCATGTCAAACCTAGGGGACTAAAATGGCCAGTATTACCATAAAATGAGAATTTTGAGGTTTACCTTAAAAGGCTTATTCTGGTATCAAAAAATCAGTCAGATTATCTTCTACTAAAATGAATCTTGACTAAACATAGAAGACTGCCGTCCTTTGCTGCTGGTCTTAGAGTACAAGTCATAGACGTGAGCCTTAACCTACTGTATACTATATAGCTAAAGTCAGCTGAAAATCTGAAATTAAAAGTATGCTAGAGATCCTAAATGCAATCTTTTGGAACTCTGCCATTAAAAAGCCTTTAAGGATGTACTAACTTCAAGTCTAAGAGCAAGGGGACAAAAGCTTAAGCCTGTCAGACATTCCTTTTTCATGGACAAAAAGATCAGTTTCCTAAAAATAGCTAAGCTTTGCACAAGGGAGAAACCTACACATACTAGTGCATGGAATCAATTTCATTTTATTCCATGGGGACTCTTCTCCCACAGGAAAGAAACAGAATGAGGAATGAATCTTAATTGGTCTCTTCATCAGAAGTGGTAAACTTGGTCTCTATATTCATGAAGTCAGTTTTTTAAGCAGACTGTGGAAGCAGACAGTAGAACCAGCTTCCTGTAGCCACAGACCACTACACTGAATCTAGCTAAAGCAAAGATGAACTTGAACAATTATCCAGAGTCACTTGAACTGTACTGAAGGGCAAGGTTCACCACTATAAAAAGGAAGTTGTCAAAAAACAAGAATTCAATTAACCCTGGCTACGAAAAATCAAAACAGGTCAGACACAGAGTCACCCATGAGGCCAACTGCTAAGAACTCACTCAACTATGCAACATGAAGACACTATGCACAAAGCCTTACTTGGCGAGCCTCAATTTCTATTAACTAAGGGCAGAGTGAGGAAGAGCAAAGAGCTACTTCTGAAACATTTTAGTATCCACATAGAACAGCAGAAACGGTTCCCAGGGGCAATGGGTGCTCCATTAATCACGCTGAAGAAAGCAGATGAATTATTCGTTTTTCTTTTCTTTTTGTTTGAGAAGTTTGTGGAATGGCCCTTTTGGCCATTCCAATGTACTTCGAAATGATTCCATGTTGGTTTAGTCCAGGAAGCAATAGTAAGGAAGTCACTATGAGGTAGGTAAGAAGCAGGTTGTGGACTTGCTGTCCCACCCAAGCAACCGCAGCAAGGGAAATGATCATGGTCATGAAGTACATCTTAGGTTTCTCTTCCTTTAGTGTGAAGAGGCATTTCCACCAACCCACAGCTCTGCGTCGAGTTTTTACTAGATTGCTGCAAATTTCATGGAATCTTTGCTGTTGTTCAGTGGTCCATTTATTGGAGCCAAAAATTCTAGGCGCTAGAATGGGAACGAGGTAGTCAGCCAAGCACAAAAACATAACAAAACAGGAAACGCCCGACAGAACAGATGGGTCTAGATAGTAGATAATCAGAAACACCAAAGAAAACACACCCATGATGGCAGGTGGAAACCAGGCTCTTTCCCATCGAAGGACTTTATCAGCCATGAGCATCACTTCTCCCCATCCTTGCAGCTGTTCTTCCAGATTTGCAGTCTCTGCAGCCAGCACGTTGGTGCTATGATTATCTCCCTCCACCATCGTCTCTGAGATGTTGTCTCCATGAGCTCAGGCCACCTTCCCAGCAAAACCTGCTACTGGGACTCACACGGTGAGCACAGCGCCTTAAACAGATATTTCTACTGCATCATTTCACTTCCTTTATTGTCTCTTTTGCCTTTTTTATTTAAAAAAAAAAAAAGCTATTTTCTTAGTCATTTCTAGGGATTCAAATTAATATCTTAATTTACTACAGCCTAGATTGTATTAAAACCAACTTAATTTTAACTGGATGGAAAATCTCTGCTCCAAATATTGTTTTGCTTCTTCTCCCATCTTTGTGGTATAAAAATGATATATACCGGTGGCTCACAGCTATAATCTCAGCACTTTGGGAGGCCGAGGTGGGCGGATCA